TAAATCATTATGAACTATTAGTCATAGGTCGAATTTAAATTGTACCATCGACAGACAATAAAAGAAAATTGCTATGCGTTGCAGTCTTGAGCGTGTTTGTGAAAGATTTATATTCCTATTATAATATGAATAATAGTAAAATATCTGATTTTACAGATATTGTTAGATATATATCTACGTTTTCAACGAACATTGATTTAATAAAAAATGTAAGTTTCTATTATGCTGTCAGTAAAATAAGAAATATTTCATATCATATATCTTCTTTTTAGGATTTGATTCATATCTATAAGCAGCTGATTGAAAAACAGACATTGTCTTTATCAAAACAAAATATTGAAGTTCTTCGAAATGAATTGAAAATATGTCCAAAATATACAAGTATTATTATTAATATATTAAAATCAGAATTTCCAGAAAATGACCAAACTAATGTTCTCGATAATATATATGAAGATGTGTTTCTTGACGTAGCAAATAATTTAGAAAGTGATGCTAATTGTACTGTTGATAATCTTTTGTGTTTATTATCGTTTCTCCAAAGTAAAAATATTAGGAATACAGAACAATATAAACAAATTTATTATCATATACAACGCCTCATAAGAGAAGAAAAAACTAAAATTCATGATATATATTTAACATTATTATCTCAAAATACACATGAAAACATTATAAATTTTTTAAATTATGAATTGAATAACAGCTCTGATTATTATTACAAATATCTTCATAAAATGTTTCTGAATAATGTTCATTGGATAATAAATATTATCAATGGATTTAAAAAAAATGAGATTTCTAGCACTGAGTTAATGGACACGTTAAATGGAAAATTATTGCATTTGGTTATGTTATCGATATCAGATGAAGAAATAAGCGTAAACTACTTTCACCCTCTTGAGAAGTTAGTAAGTCAACTGGAAAAGTCAGGTGAAGAACAAACATTTATTTATTGCTATTGTAAAGAACTATACAGAAAAATATCAATAGCAAGATTTTGTTATGAAAATAGCCTCAAAGATAAAGATAATTTATTTAAAGATATACATGAAAAGAGCCTGCTATACATCTTGAATGATATGTGCAAATTACAAACTTTGGAATATGATAGAATAATGAATTTATTACAAACAAACAGAAATTTACAATTAAAATGTTTTAAATCATCATATTTTTGGGAAGAAGATTTATACACTGCTTATGTTATAATCACTAAAAGTGTTCAAGCCATTTGCCTTTACATAATTCCTGTCTTTTGTTGGAAACAGTTTTGGCAGATATTGAAAATCTATTTTATAAATTAAATCTTTAGAATTACGTATAAAAGTTTTAAAATACATGTTTTCAATATTATTTGTGAAATTTGGAGATGTATCATGGCATTCATTTACGGATGATGAAAATGAATGTGAATCATTGTGCAATGTGCTCAAAAAAGATAAATTTGTTTGTTCTTTGGAATTTGTGGAAGCTTATTTACCATTGCTTCGAAAATTCATCAATGTTACCAAAACAAAACTTTCACAAAGTCAGAAGAATGATCAATTACTATGTAATGAAGACTTTTCTAAAATCTCTGAATATGTGGAAAATGCTTTTTGGCGTAAAGAATTATTATCACACTATGGTAGAAAGAATAAAAATCATTTTTTGGATTTTATAAATTCCTCATCAGGAAAAGAATCAGAAATTAGGTATGCAAATAAATATTCAGTTTTGATCAATATAGTACTTTGAATATATTGATTCGTCTTTATCCTAAAGCTTATAAATGATAATTTTAGAATTGATTCTTCAGATGAATGTATAAACATTCTGTTATCACCTCCACAAAGTCTTGTGAATCAGTGCCTTCTTCAAGAAGATTTCCAGAAAGCTAGTGATGTAATTGAAGTAAGTTTGTTTAAATTGTTTATTATCATAATGAAAGAATTCCATGTTACTTGAGTTTTATTGAGATAATAATTTAAGAAAATTCATATGATAATATTTCTGATATTTTGAATGAATCATTGAAAACGTGATTTGATTTAATCAGAGCCAATCAAATTTATTTACAAATCAATATTTTGTTTGATTTCGTAAATGTGTTTGTCTTCCGTTGTAAATTGTGAATTAATATACTTAATATTATTTAGCCTTCTGATAAAATTTAATAACTTGAACTATTTAAAAATCATTGTTTGAAATAAATCCTCTTTCATTCGTAATCATTATTAATCTATGTCTTTCCTTATATGATTTTTTTATTTAGAGAAATTTAATTCAAGAAATGGCTCAATAAACGACTTTTGAAATTACAGAGATACCATATACAAGACAGCTTTGAAGCCAAACGAGCTAATTTTTACAAAATTATTTGAAAATAAAACACAGATTACGAAATTTATCTAGTAGAAGAAATGAGTTATACCATGGTACAGAATCATCAACAATTGAATTTTCTTCCAGTAAATATATCGTTAAGAAATTTTTAGAGGCCTATGATGTACCATTTTCTCTGGAGGATAGTGATACTATAAATTCAAATAAAATCATTAATACAAATATTACATTTTATGATTGCAACCAAAATAAGAATATGGTCTTGATGGATTTGATTTTAACATCATGCAGTGATTATAATTTGTCTGCAGATTTAATTTCAGTTTTGAACGATTTTTCTTGGAAAGAAGAAAGCCCTTTAAAATATATTTGAACAAATTGATAGATTTCTTCAATGTTTGGAAAGAACATAATCGAACATATAACAGAAATTTTAATAATATTAGTCTAATGGATATTATTATTAATGAACATTTTCCAAATGATATGAATAGATTCAAACAGATTTTAAAGTTCAATGAAGAGCTAAGAAATTTATTGCCAAATTTAGAAATTATCGGAAAACATACAGAAGAGAATTTTAAGAAGACCATTGAACTTTTGGCACAATATCCATATGTTAGCTTTAATCCTTCATCAACACAACCAAATTATTTGCAAAAATTATGGGACTATTTACAAAAACTAAAAGAGTTAATCCATATGGATTTAAATTGTGATAATGAAATAAATATATTCAATTACTTACTTGTTCCACTAGAAAAAATTATTGGAGATTTAGTGCATATTAGAGGTATTTTACCAAACAAAATAGAACAAATCACAAATGGAATGAACATAAACTTATTTGAAATATTAGTATCGGGTTTGACCAATGAATTATGCAATATTGCTTCCATTAATGATCATAAATTTCATTTCAATGATGGAAATTTTGAAAATTCCAAACCAATTATTAATTTTGAATTAAACTACAAACCAGATATGATAGTGGTGGCATATTTAAAAAAACACAACTGGCTTATTGCATATCTCATAGAAAAATTATTTGATTTTAACACTACTGACGACCATAATACTAATTTATTAAGAAATGTTTTTAATTTAGAGAGCACACAAAATCTTAAGAGTCTATATGGTGGTAATGAAGCGAAATCAGCATTAAATTATCTAGTAGATATTAATTTATTTAATACATACTATGAAAAGAATGATATTGAAAAAGAGGCATTATTAAAATTTTTATATCGTTGCCTACGATTCAAATGAAAAAATCTACATATCTAAGAAATAAGAAAAATTCTTTATTGTGGGATTTATCAAGAAAACATTGGAAATATATAAAATTTATAGATAATATTGAGTTGCAATATGATTGTATAAATGAAAATATGTTAAATTGGGATGAGAAGTCTTTAAAATTAGCTTTGGAGTATATTATTGAACATATTAATTTGAACAATTTGTCTTTGGATAAACAAAGGTACTTGAAAGACAAATTCAATAAAGTTCTAATGTTTGAGAAGGTAAATTTGTTTTTGTTATATTTAAATAAAACATTAAAAATTATAAAGTATATCAACAATTATCTTTGTTAATTTATATGTATTCTGTATATAAATTAAAACAAAATAATTAATGTTACAGGTTAATTCATATTTATTGGACTATAATTGGAACAAATTTCAAAATATATCAAAAGAAGATGCAGTAAATATATTAGAGACTCTTCTTATGAACAAGCAGATTGAATTAAGCTTAGATTGGATTGCTCTATATGGAATTACAAAAGATCAAATGTTATATATTGATGAAGATTTCATTAGTGAATCACTTGAAGTGAACCAAAAAAACATGCTCATAATATCGAAATTTCTTCATGAATTAAATGTGAATCAAGCATTGGTTGTATGTGAAAAAATCTATATTGCATGTTAATAATATCAACGCATTTAAAGTATTTGGTCAATTTATATTGCATCATGAAAATACAATCGTTGATTACAATTTAGTTATATCCATTAATATTCTAATGAGTTTAGAACCAAGTGATGCTTTACCGTTTTTTAAAGTTATAAATCAGCCTTTGCTAATAATTGAGCAGTACTTAATGAACTGTAAATTTGATAAATTGATAATGTGTCTAAAAATCATTAAAAAGAAACTATTAGATGAGGATAAAGTTGAAACAGATACTATAACAATGATTCATATTGAAAAATTATTAATAAATTATGCAAAGAAATCATTAAGATTTGATGTTCCAAATTCTGCAAGGAATTTTTCTTTCAATGAAGACTTGATACAGCCTATAGAGAGTCCAGTGGAGGAAATGTTTTACAATGCCTCTAGTTGCTCCCAAAAAATCTGAATGGATCCCAAATGAATCAGCAAATGAATGTATGTGTTGCAAACAATTAGTTTTTACAATGTTTAATAGAAGACACCATTGTAGACGATGTGGCAGAGTTGTATGTGGATTATGTTCAATGAACAGGCTGAAGGTAAGAAATAATTTCTACATATTCAATTAATTATAAAACAATAACAGAATTTTCTTACAATTACAGATAAAATTATAATTAATGTTAATATAAAACTCTCTAATTTCTTTTAGTTATCTGCTTATAAAGATTTAAATGTTCGTGTTTGCAATCAATGTTATGATCAAACAAGAATTGCTGAAGGTATTTCTAGTGACTCCTGCACATCAGACGATGTCTCGTCAACTTATTCCAAAAGAGATTACAATCAATCAATTAGTGAAAATATTAGTGATGAAAATGAATGGATATTAGCAGGAGATTTAGATCGAGATAATGCAGTAAGAGAAGAATTTGGGTAAAGTTGTATGTGTAGAACATTATATCAATTTGTGAATATTGTTTTTTAGAGTCCGCAAATTATCTAACTAAAATCTATTTATTAATTATATGTGATTATATATACTAATGTGCAATAATTTAATACTTAATGGGATTTCTTATAATTATAATTGTTATGTGGAATATAAAAATTAGTTTGATACAAAATTTCAGGAACTAAAATTACAATTTGATCATGTTTTTTTAAATAATATATATATTTTTGTGTGCTATTTTTTTTTAACATTGAAAAGTCAAAAGCAGTGTTTAATATAGTAAGTACTAACTATATTTTCTTTACAGTTTTACGCATGCTCCATCAGTCTCATTATGTTTATCAATTCTGTCTCTTTATGATGACTCAGAAGAAGCACCAAATTTTTTGCTGTCTGAATGTGATGCTGTGATTAGAATAATGAAGCCAAAAATTATAGGAGTGCCCAATAATGAGGTCAGAACTAAAAATAGAATATTATGAAAAATCCGATTCGCTAGCTTTATGTTTTTTCGACGTTTCAAGCCATTCTGAATCGAATGAGGCCAAATTTGGGAAAAGTATGTGTGTGTGTGTGTGTGTGTGTGTGAACAGATTTTTTGCTGTAAATCGACGTTTTTTTCAAAAACGGCTAGACGGATTTTAAAAATTTAAAAGCCATTCGATGTATCTAGATGAGGACTAGCGTTTATCAGTTTTGTGCAACGATCGGCCAAGCCGTTTCTTTATAAATAGCAGAAAAGTGAAAAATTTTTCGTTCACGTTTTAGCCTGCAATTATGAATCGATTTTGAAATTTCAAAAACCGTTTGAAAGATATTGGTCGGGAATCGTGCTGATTAGTTTTTAGTAAAGATGGCCCGGGCCGTTTTCTTGCAATGAAGTGTTAAAAAAAATTTTTTCGACGATTTTTATATTTTTTTTTTTTTGACGGTAGATACCATAGTCTTATAGATCTTACTAAAATATTACGGTCCTACGACAACTCGTTTAACTTCAAAAATTCGTCAAAGTTTGCAAAAATTAGTATCGGTTTTTTGGCATTTTGTCAAAATTATACCTTTCATCGTTTCATCAAAAACGCCTGAATCGATTTTAGAAATTTAAAAGCCATTTGATGTATCTCAATGAGGACTATCGTTTTTAAGTTTGCTGCGACTATCTGCCGAGCCGGTTCTTTGTAATTTGCAAAAATGTGTTAAACTTTTCGTCCACATTTAAGCTCATACTACCGAATCGATTTTAAAAAATCTACCAAGCCGTTTTCTCGTAATTAACTGTTGAAAAAAAAAATATGAGCCGATTTTAATGGAACTTTTTTTGGCGATATATATCATGGTCTTATAGTACTTACTGAAATATTACGATCTTACAAGTAGTTTGATTTTAGACGATTTACTTGGTATAATGATAGAGTGCTTAATAAACATACTAACCATTGAAGTCCTACGGAAACTGGTTCAATAATAAAAATCATTGATTTGTGAAACTTTGCTTTTAGATAATTCTCCGAGTTAACATGTTCGTTCGTTTTCAAATATGTGTAATAAATCCACTCGGAATACTTTTATTCACTCCTAAATTAATTTATTTTTTAGTGATTAAATCGATTATTTAAACATATCGGGAAGTTCGTGTAACTTGCCTCAAGGCAAAATACTATAACCAACTAGTTTATGATATTTAAATTATTACCTAAAATAACTAAATAAAAAAAATATATTACATATATAATGTTTACAATATTAAACATATTTTAATCATACATTGGCATTAATTTATTTAACTGAAGATTATAAAGTTTTAATAAAAAGAAATGAATTTTCAGATAGATTACTCATTGCTAATTGAAATAATGCGATCAATGGCAATTGCAGCTAAAGTGAAGTTTTCTCATCTTATACAATTAAAAACAAATTTTACCTCTGAAATGTCTGGGACAAATGATGCAATAGGTATATTCAATCACAATATTTTTAAATCACTTTTTACACTACTTACAATTCTTGCAGAAAATAAATGTACTTCTTATTACTATGCTGGTATTTCACGTTGTGATTATATACTGAATTATGCTGACTTAGCACAATTGCTTGTGGAGCATAGTTGTGAAGGACTCCTTACACAAACCATGGAAGGTGGGGGTTATAATTTATTATTGATTAGTCATTTTATGAATAATATTATCATACTTTATATATTTAATATCTCATAGATATTTTTATATATATTTTTAGTAGCTTTTATGGTGTTCAATTGTAATTTGTACATTCAATTAATCTTGTTTTTGTTTTTACTAAGCTAAAAATGTACTTTTTATTTAATGCAGAATATTAATTATTTACATTTAAATTTTAGCTTATGATATTCAGATATTGCGTGAGCAACTGATGCTATCTGAGCGATGGACAGTGGCACTTGAAGTTTCTTTGAAAGCGGGTCTTGACAAAGCTAGTGTGTTTGCAGCTTGGGGTAAAACTTGTTTAAGGGCTGGTGCTTTTTTAACAGCTAGAGAGAAATTTAGTCATTGTCTTAAAGCAGTACATAATTCATCGGTATATATTAAATTTTTTTTATAATAAACTATTTAAATCAATGTGTATTACATATATTATTAGATATATTTTTAAATTTTATCTGTATGGTTTGCTTTTTTAATCTAACTCGAAACATTTAAAATATGTTTTTTACTCAATTTGAAAAAAAATTGTTACTAAAATATTATATATAGATTTAGTTTAGGAAAGCACACAATCTTGCTTTTGTAGCCTTTAATTTAATTTAATTACATAAATATTCTATGTTTAACAAATTATATTAATTTTCATTAAGTTATTGATCTTTATATGCAGACATCTTCCAGTGCACAACATCAGGAGATATTTACAGTTGAGAATTTCATGGAAGAAAAATATTCAAGAAATGTTTTTAAGTATGCTACAAATTATACTGACAATAATATACAAGATTCAGTTTCTAAAGTACCAATAAATGCAAGACCTTCCAAAGACCCTATATTATTAAATGAAATAATTGAAATTCTGGAGAAAACACATACACTATTGATGCAAGTATAATGAAAAATTTTGAAGAAATTAAACAGTCCCAAGAAAATTTATTACAGAAAAAAATAGGTGGTCATATGAGGAACAATTTACCAGAACCTCCATTATATGTTTTACATACATTATCTAATTTAAAAAATATTATGAATGGCATATATGAATCAGAAGTGGAGGGTGATAAATCCAAACAAAAGAGCAAACGTGTAAAAGGTAGATCGGATAGCATTCAACATCAATCGTCTGATAATCATGAAATGAAAAATTTAGAAAAATTTATTTTTGATGAATGTAAATATTATTTGAAGACATATGGATCTCATGAAGGAATTATAAAATTTTATATGCAACATTCCACAGTGAATCAAGTTTTAGAATATATTTTAAATAATACTGTAGATAAAAATATATTTACGGAAGCAGTTTATATGGAGTGTTTAAAAACTGGATGTATTGAAACTTTGCACCATCACATGGCTTCCATGGATTCAACACTCATTATCTGGAAGGTATAGCGCATATTTAAAAAATACTATTTTACTTTTAATATTTTCAACGTTTTTGTTTTTTAGGACTATCTCAGCAATACTTGTAGATATTTAGAAAAATATAAGTATATGAACACACTCTACTCATTACAACTATTTATGAAAGATCTTGTAAGAGCCAGCATGACGTGCATACATTTTTATTCATTTAATTGCTCCACATATACTAGTTTACATGAAAATGCAGAATATTTAAATACCGCGGAAAAGTTTTGCGGCAGGAGTTAGAAGCTGCTGTCACAACAACTTCATCAACGTTCCAAGTATTAAAAGAAGCAAGTGCAGCAGCATCAGGTTTCATTAAGAAGTTGAGTTATCGTGAGTTGGATAGACATATTAATACAATATGCAAGCAAAGAGAAGTTGCTAAGTTTTTAGCTGGTTGTGAAGTTCATGGTCGAGAGACCTTTGTGAAATTAAATAAGGTAATGCATACACTATCATCAATGTAGTCATTGATCATGTTTATGTATATAAAGAAATTTTTCAAAGGTGTAATGATCTGTTTCTTTTTTTAAAAAAAATCATTGTATATATATCTTAATAATATAATTTAAATAACAATTATTGATAAGTATAGCTACAGATTCATATTTTTAATGGGCTAGAGGAAGATTCAGATTTATACTAATTTAAAATGTACATTAAAATATGAAAAAACTACTACTCTAGATAATTCTGAGATTACAAGTGAAAACAAAATTTGTTAGGATTAATCCTCAACTGCAATGCTATTTTTTATAAAAGTTTTAATTATTTATTGAGCTTCATTTTAGTTTTGGGAATTCTAAACAAAAACATATTATAATTTTCAGATGTTTACAAATGACAGCAATGAATCAAATTGTTTGCAGTTACCAACTCTATTTGGAAATCAATTAGATAGATTGCAAGTAGCCACATTTGTAATTCTTTGTGGCCAGAATGTAGAGGAAGGATTTGGACTTGCATTCAGGTATCCAAATAGTCACTATTAGATACTATTAATTTTAAGTATAATAGTATATTGAAATTTATATAAAATAAATATAAGATCAAAATTGTTTTTTTTTCTCAAGAAATTACTATGGTACTATTTATCTTATTTTATATTGCATAATTCTTATTTTGTACTTAAATTATCGTCACTTTGTTGTATTATCAACTATTAATACCGTCGTTGATATTTTGCCTGGAGCAGCACCGTCATATTTCAACCTCTTATCTCGCTTTTTATGGTTAATTTTTTTACATTTCATTTACCAAACTTCCGCTTTTATGCGTATCTGTTCTTTGCTTCGGTTTTTATCTTGTGAATTTCTTCTTCGAGCAAGTTGTATATCATCTGCGTCATTATTTAACCATGTTCATGGCCATCACGAAACCGCTTTTTTAACTTCCCGAAGGAGAAGACCAAATTTGAGAAAAAGTGTGTGTGTGTGTGTGTGTTTATGTCAACAGATTTTTTGCCGTAAATCGACGTTTTCTCAAAAACGACTGGACCGATTTCAAAAATTTGAAAGCCAATCGATGTATATCGATGAGGACTATCGTTTTGTAGTTTTGCGCTACGATCTGTTTCTTTGTAAATCGCAGAAAAGTGAAAAAAAATTCGCCTACGTTTCTCAAAAACTGTTCGAAAGATATTGGTTGGGAATCGACCTGATTAGTTTTTGGTAAAGATCGACCGGGCAGTTTTCTTGTAATAAAGTGTTAAAAAAAATTCTACGATTTTTATGATTTTTGTGTTAGTGACGGTAGATACCATCTACCATAGTCTTATAGATTTAACTTTAAAAATTCTTCAAAGTTTGCAAAAATTAGTATCGTTTCTTTGGCATTTGCCAAAATTAGACCTTTCATCGACGTTTGTTCAAAAACGCCTGAAACGATTACAGAAATTTAAAATCCATTTTATGTATCCCAATGAGGACTATCATTTGCCAGTTTTGTGCGACGATCTGCCAAGCCGTTTCTTTATAATTTGGATAAAAGTGTTGAACTTTTCGTCCACATGTAAGCTCATACTAGCGAATTGATTTTAAAAAATCAAAAACTGTTCGAAAGATATCCGTGGCGTTTTCTTGTAAATAACTGTTGAAAAAAAAATTAAGCCGATTTTTATGGAACTTTTTTTGGCGATATATATCATGATTATATGATAGAACTCACTGAAATATTACGGCCTTACGACGAGTAGTTTAATTTTAAAAATTCATCAAAGTTTGAGAAAATGATGAGTTTCTTTTAACGTTTATAAAATTAAATTTAATTCTATCCGGCGTCCTTTCTTGTTCACAGTCGTATTTTCGGTCCATTTGTTAATTTGTGGTCCATCCTTACTATTCTCTCGATTTTGATTATTTAATTCTATATATGTTAATTATTCTTATTACAATTATGTTACAGAATAGCTCAAGATTATCAGTTGCAAGGATCCCAACTCTACCGCGAATGCGCGCGTTATTTAGCGCGCTGCGGTGATGGTTTGAATCAAGTGGCTCAGCTTTGCCGTTGTGTACATTCCAGTGGTCTCAATCAGCAAAAGGCTTCAATTCTTGTTGATGAATTAGCAGCTGCTGCTCTATATGAGGCTAGCATACTACAGTCTTCCAAATGCTTGGACGGAGCAGACGCCGTCGTAAGGAGTGTTAGTGATATTGGTGTTATGGTTAGTAATTATTTTTCGCAAATTGATATTGTTTTTCATCCAAAATATTCAAAATGTTTGCATTATTTCTTAAATTTCATTAATTTCTGAACTATATATTATTATAACTTCTATTTAATTATAGGCAAATAATATTTCAAAATGAATATGAATCAAATTTACATCATAACCTAACTAAAGCTAATAATGAATATTAACAATAATAATTCAAAGGTTTTTCGGAAAGTAATTTTGTTTTTATAGATATTTTGGCACTCAATTTTCCAACAATAAACAATTACTTTAATAAGTTTTGTATTGGCAGTTTTGATCAAGCATCTCTTGTCATATTTCTGGTATAAGCATAATTTCGAGAAAATAAATTTTTTAGTCGTTATTAGCAAAAAACTGATCAAAGTGCTTTTTGACATGCTGGTTTGAAGTAAAGGTTTTACCGCCTAAAAATTTTTTTAGAGGCCGGAACAAATAATGGTCCGATGATGGCAGGTCTGGAGATTATGATGAATATGTCATTGGGTCCCTTTCAAGCTACTAAAACTTTTGGCGATTGACCAAAATTATGTGAGGTCTTGCGTCGTCTTGATGCAGGACTATACTTTGCTTGTGGGTTAATTCTGACCTTTTCTTTGAAGTATATCATTTAGTTTATCTAGCTGATGATATAAGGCATCCGAATTAACCGTTATGTTATCCTGGAAAAGCTGAAAAATGAACAACTCCTTTAACTTCTTACCAAACATACTGCATTACCTTTTCCTGGCAAATTTCAGGTTTGCACCTGTCTTGAGCAGCTTCTTCTGTTTTGTTTCATGGGCAATTCCGTATATTGTATTCTTTGGCATCCCATTTGGCATTCCTAATGACAATTCGCTTCAAAACCTGATGATTTTTAGGACTTTTCAAAGGCGAACACACGTTTCTTTCTTTTGAGTGGTCATGAACTATGAAATTTGATAAATTTTAAGTGAATGGGATCTCATGTATTGTTATTCGTTGGTTTGCATCAACTAACGCCTTTCTCGCGTCTTTATCAGCTTCAAGTGTACTTCTCGCACTTGGACAGCAAAATACCAGGAATAGACTGTAGCAAACCAATTTTGGCACTGTTGTATTATCAATCAACACGATGGAAATGATTCCGTACACATCGGTCAATTTCATTTTGACTTTAACAGTATTTTTACCTTTTCTATAGCAGAAGTGTAAAATATGTCGAAAATTTAATTATTTAGTGGCACCATCCAAAAACGACTGCATGTAATTGATTAGAATTTGATTTTTCGAATCATATAATAAAAACAGGGCTTAAGTGTAATGTTGGATTCAAAACAATATAGTTAAATTCTGGTGGTAAATAAACGAAGAGACTCTCCGAACAACCTTATATTTAAATCAGAATATGGGAAATATACTTCAGACTAAATTGCGCTTGATCGAAACAGAGTGCTATATATAATTATTGAGCATTAAGTATAGTTGTTGATATTATTAAAATTGCATTAGTTGTTATAAATAATTCTATAGCAGTTTGAATGTAACCCTACTAATTTTGTTTAATTTTTTTATGTGTACGCCATAAACTAAGGTGACCATAGTTTTTCATGACAAAATCTGGACGGCAACTTGTAAATATACTAATCCGGGTTTGGAGGTGTGGTTTTATACCAAATAACTTAAATATGATTTAAAGTAACAAATTCTATATAAGGACACAATATAATAGACCAAGAGCCAGTGAACCTTTTGAATAACGGTGTTCCTGTAAGGCTAAAAATTTTTGTACAGGTGATTTTTAACGTGCTAAGTACGGAAACGACGGTCTGGCAGGTTTTAGCCCTGCACATCATGGTCGTCCAGGCGTTTGAAAGTGTAAAAAACACCCGAAAATTAAACTTGTTCCTGTAAGGTTCAAATTTTTATACGATTTAATTTACTCATTGAGAAGTTCGAAAATCAATCTGCCAGACCATTTCGACCTGCACAAGTACCTGCCAGACGAGCCGGAAAGTGAGCAAAAATGCCCCAAAATAAACTTTGTCCTGTAAAGCTGAAATTTACATATGTGTTTATCTAAGCAATTCTAAAAAGGTCTGTGCAATTGCCAGACCATTCTGGCTAGCATAAGCCCTTGCCAGACGAGGGCAAAAATGCTATGGCGGGAGGCGAGTAATAGGCGTTGCGTGAAAACTTATAGCATATATTCAAACTATATTATGAGAAATTACAAATTATGGTCAAAATAAATTTAATTAGTCACAATAAAATATATATTATCATGAATTAATCATCATTATCAGATATATCGCTAATTAATACTTCATCGTCATAAGATTCGGCATTGCTGACTTATCGTTTATAAAAAAAACAAATTTAAATATATTAATAATATAATAAATATAAAATATTACAAATTTAAAAATTTTAACATTACCGCCTATGTGTTGATCAGCTCTGTTTGCATCCTCCTCAGCAATACGAGAAGGATGTTGTGATATTATTTCAAAATTTGAAGAAGGAACGGTATCTCTCACAAACTAATTGAAATCAAAT